TGAAACATAAAAATTCTGAAATATGTGTTAATCTTTTTTATTCAGCTCTGATACCCCTAAATTAAACAGAAATGTTATTCGGGCATGTCTGCAGTTAGCCTTGAAGGTCCGCTGGTTGCCACAGTCCTCTCAACATCGGAACTTTTTTTTAAATTATACACTAAATCTCTAAATGGGCCATATAGTGACTCTTAAAAGTATAATCTTTTTGCCTCAAATGAACTTAACATAATACTCTGAGTTCTGCAAGCGCTCCCATTGATGCTGCGACCACTGCAGTGGGAGTCTGCTCTGGTGCATACTTGGTAAAGAGGGAGGGTTAAGGGCAACGATATCTTGTGTTCTTGTGAATTGGAATAGTACTAGGGCTGAGGCTGATGATGTTTCACAAGCACATGAGCTCATGAGGATGCACAAGTGTGCATATTGAGAAAAGGGCTAAATTTCCCTGCTTCAGCACAGCTGATTTCCGTTGCTGATTAACAGCAGAAATAGCTGTGCTAACGCCGAGAAACATTGAAAACCTGCAGGACAGCCGCAGTGATCTACTGCAACTGGTGAATAGATCCACTTTTGTGTATTTCTTTCCTTACTTAACTTTAAATAACACACAGCATTTCTCTGAAGAGCTTCCTTCCTTCCTTCCTTTTAAAGAGATAGTTTTGTTTTTATAATTGGCAAATATTAAGAGAATCACCTAAAGTCATGCACTCATAAAGATCCATATTCAAAGTTAAACTATTTTATTTCTAACATTGCTCATTGTTTTTTTTCCCTTTTGTTTAGTTTTTGTGGTATAGCGGGGAACAGGAGCAGAGGCTTATTATATATTTTATTAGCTCATGGTTCAAATGGCCTTTGTTGTTACCATTGTACGAGATATATTGGTAGTAAAAGTGTATGGTAGTTCAAAAGTTTAGTTGCTTCTATCATTTGAATTTTTTTTCACTTGGAAAAGAAACACATAGTTGTATGCTTCTTACCAATTGAGTTTCTCCTCTGTCCTCTTTATTATTTATTATCCAAATAATAAACATTTCTATGCATTTGGCCTGTTTGGAAACCTATCTGCTCTCCCCATTCTTATTTGTTAGAGAAATTAGAGTGGTAAGAAAATCATCAAAACTTAAATCTTTCAAAGCATATTTTTTTGCAGCATATTTATTCTTCCCCTCTCTTTAACTGCCCATAAGTTGTAGATCAGCTCTTGGCACTCATGTAAAATCAAACTAAGGAGTTTATGTCTTATTTATTTTCCACATAATTTTTAATTGCATTTACCAACAAACTGTTTTTGTTGTTAAGAAATGGAAGATGACAAAATCGGGGAGAAAACAGCCCTAAACATAATGAACAATCTGCTGTATTCTCCGCTCACATTAGACCCACATGCTTTCTAGCCTGCATTTTTACAGAGTTAACCAAATGCAGATGTGCTGGAATATCTCAAAGTCCAACCTCTGCTTCCGCCCCCTTCTCTGATTGGTTGGCAGTGATAGCACCCTTTAAGAGAGGAATAATTCCCAGTTCTGGAGTGATTTAGGTGTCATTACTCTCCTCTTTTTTTTCCATAATTCTCTGCCTACTCCACAGACAGCAAGAAGATGGCTTCAGCACATGACAGAGCTGTTCTCCAGGCTATATTCAACCCTACCACCCCCTTTGGAGATGTTCCTGGCTTGAACCAAGAAGAGGAATTAATTGATGATGGTGAGCCTGAGCTGATGTGTCTCTACATATCATGTCACAGCATATTGAATTTATTTGAACACTTTCCATTTCCAGAGTGAAAAAACCCATGACGCTGTAATCAAAACTTAGTTCTGGGTGACATTTCTGTGTTTTTCTTTGCCACGGTACCTGTCAGCTGAGTGTGAATGCTTTTTCCAACCTGTTTATCTCCTCCTGCCAGACAGTGGGTTTGACACAGAGTTGCTGAAGCAAGTGAAAGAGCTGGAGATGCGAGGTGTCTCTGCCGCAGAGGCTGGGGAGTTACAAGCCGCTCTTCAGCTGTTCAGCCAGGCAGTCCACATCCTGCCTCAGCGAGCTTCTGCCTATAACAACAGGGCCCAGGCCCTGCGACTGCTGGGGGACACAGCGGGTAAATTCAACAAATTCAGTAATAAACCTTCCCTTAGGCACTGCATTGTGCCTGTATGTCAGAGTGTTGAGTCTGAGGCCAGCATTATACAATGCAGGACCTCTGCCTGCCTGTCTTCTGCATGTTATCTGCATTGATTCTTTTTAACGCGTGTCTTGGCCTCATATTATTTTGTTGTTATTGTTTCATACGGTCAAGATAAAGAGATTACAAGGTTGCAAGAAGCGAAATGCATGGATTTTACAGTTCATATCAGAATCATTTTTAAGATTATGCACACTTAAACTACTTGTTTGTGCTTCTAAAAAAAGATTATGGACAATGGGTGTTACCTTTGCAAACAAAAGAAGCTAATACTCGTGTTTTGCAACAGTTTACACTGTGCAAAATAGTTTTAAGGATGTTTGTTTAAAATGTAAATACTTTTGACAAACTGTAAAGACACACAGTAGTCAGTTTGAGCTCTAAGTCTAGTTACCATGCCTTGCTGAAATATTTGTAGACCTTAGACAAAAAAACCTGCAGCCATATGACCCTTTATACAATAGTGATACTTGCAATGCAATGCCACTACTTGCTTCTAAAAAGTTGTTGCTAGAGTCCATATTCTTATACAGTATGAGTCAAAGTCTGTACAAATCCGATACAGCACTGTTTCCCAACCTTTTTTGACTTGTTTACCCCTTTGGGCATTATGGCTTACCATAAGAACCCCTCTCAGTGAAAAGTATTGACAACTGCTCAAAAATGGAACGTACAATAACTGATTATAAAATAAAGACTACTTTACTTGCTCTTTTAATTTGAAGATGTAATTCTTATTATTTAATTCTTTTTATGTCTAATAAAAAATAAATAAATATATTGCCTGGAAGTTAGTAAGGAATCAAAATTAAATAAAAAAAATAATATTCTAAACCTTTATTTATAAAACTGGGGCTCCTCTGAGTAACTCCCTTATAGTCATATTTAGATTTGATGAATTGGGACCAAAATATAGAACAAAAATTCGACTAACTTAATAAGTTTTCCTCTGTTTTCATCAAGACACCTGAGCTGCTTTGATGAGACCCAATAGCTCAGTGTGAAATTCAGCTGATCCCAGGCTGTTCTCTACATCCAGTCTGTTTCTCTGCTTGGTTTTGATGCGTATTACAGCTCAAGATGAACTCAAACATATAAGAAAAACTTACTTTTTAGTTGATAAAAGCTTGTTTAATTTTTCAATTGGCTCCTCACAAAGCAGAACAAATCCCAGCCCTGTTTTATTTTACTGCCTAAGAAATTAAATATTTTCATGTACCCCTTGCAATGCACTTATGGACCACTAGGGGTACGCGTACCACTGGTTGGGAAACACTGCAATACAGCATTGCTGTTTGGGCTTTAGAGGTTTGCAGGAGATAATAAGTGAGCAAACAGTTTCATGAAGACCAACAAATACAGCAGATAGGTCAGGAATAAGGAGTTAAGACATCTTAAGTTATATTTTGTTTTAATATATTATATTTTATTTCTGTTCTGTACAGTAAATGGTGCACTGCAAGAAAATAATTTCCCACAAGGGATTAATAAAGTAATTGTGATTCTAAATAAGGAAGGCTAGAAAAGAAAACAATATCACAACATTAAAAAATCTAACATGACAAAGTTTTGAACAGGCAATGGCACAATAGTCCAACCAAAACAGGTCACCCAAAGAAAAAGATCAAGTTTTAAGTTAGAATCTTTTTCTGGTGCTTTTTTCTTTTTTTTTATAGAGGTTGTAAATTTTTACTTGGTGCAAGTGTTTTTTGCAAACAAATTATTAATAACATACGGCACATTTCTATGGTTTTTGCTGAGCTCCTGTCAGTTTAAAGCTATACTCTATTTCTTTAATCTCTTCCTAGTTTTGTATTGTTGAAAATACTGTCATTGAATCAAATTTACTTAATGCAGTAAAGAGACGTCTAACCTGTGGCTGATTCTTTCGGAAATTTTACATTATAAAATTCCTCCTTTAAGACTTATATGTGCTTCATCTTTTCATCCTAGGAGCCCTGCAGGATCTCGACCAAGCTATCTCCCTCAGTGGAGGCAATGGACGTAGTGCCTGCCAGGCGCTAGTACAGCGAGGACTCCTGTGGAGATTAGCAGCCCAGAATGATGAGGCCAGAATGGATTTTGAGAAAGCGGCTGCACTGGGAAGTGAATTTGCTCGACAGCAGGCAGTGCTTCTCAATCCGTATGCAGCCCTGTGTAACAAAATGCTATCAGAGGTTATCAACAATCTACGCAACCCTGAGATGGCAGATATGCAATAGTTATTGGATAGTTATTAGATGAAAATATAATTTTGTACGTAGATATTTTGTTTTCTTTATGTCAGATGTCAAAAAATAAAAACTTTAAGCATTTTTTTAAAGTGTCAAAAGCAATGGTGCTCCTATGGTTTAAAAAGGAATTTAAAAGGGTGTTACATACCATGTAGGGTATACACTTCACTCAAGAAAAGGAAAAATGTTTAAATGTCACCTTTTTTAATCTACTTAATTCAGCAATTCCAATGGTAAATTCATTGACATATTAGTTGTATCTTCAGCAGAAAGGTTTAAACACAAAAATACAAACAAAAAATACAGGATTTTCAAAAATGTGTTAACAGAATTTTTTATGGTTTTATTGTTATTTATCTCACTATGCTCTGCTTGTTCAATTCTCCGATTCAAGCACCAAAAATAACTTCATTTATTCCAAAGTTTACTAATGTAGTTGATTGCAAACTTTACAAATAAAACACAGTACACAAAACGTGTTGTCTTTTAGCTTCTAGTTATCTAATTGTTAATAGTTATCTAAATGTGTCCAAACATAATGCATACAACTGTTCACAGACAATAATGATAATAATAACAAAAATTAGTTCAGCATATAATTGAAAGGTATGAGACAAAGAAGGAATATTTAATAATCATTGTATGTCTTTTTTAAATTCAGTGGAAAAGTAAAATACTTGTACTTTTGAAGAATCACAGCTGAAGTCTGAAAAATAAATCATCTGGGGCACTTAGGAAAACATGTATATAAATGCATAATAAATACTTTTAATATGTATAATCTAAGAAATTGCATATGTAACCTAACTTTTAATCAGACACCCAAATGCATTTTTTATTATGTACTGTTATGCAATCATCTGCATAGCTGAGGCACTTCAGCTTTGTTCCACTGGATGTCAGTCTAGGCATACTGAAACAGGCTTTTAACAGCAGCACTTTCTAATGCATTTCACAAACAATAGGATAACATTGGCTTATAACCAAAGTTATAAGTGTTACTTTTAAATTTAATATTTCCAGATACATAATTAAAAGCCTAATGAGTAAAGCTTCACATTGCAGTTTAAAAGAACCCTCTGGCCAGTCTCTCCAGAATTCCTAAAAGTGGCTTTAACCTCACAGTGGTCCACCCACTGTGCTCCAAGTTGTAAGGTTCATCTTATATGCTTCAGTTCCCCATGTTTTTCTCTGACCTCTTCCAGACAGGCCAGAGCCACTGGCTCCCTGAGTTCCTCTCTCTGGTAGAAGGGGCAGCTTTTCAGGTGCTCCGACATAGAAGGAACATTACTGAAGCTCCAGCGGTCCACTGTAGAAAACAGTGAGCTGAACCTCCAGATCTGTCAAACAAAAAAGCAATGATGACTTTAACAGCAAAGCAGAGCGCAATGATGATGGATGTAGTTTTAATAGATGGAATCTAGATCATTGAGCACTTTGGTTCCATTTCAGAGCACAATTCTATTTCAGTACCATCTGTTAGAAATTGATACAAATTATGTCATTCATTGCAGAGCAAATACGCAGCTGTTGCCCACACATTAATTTCAACCTGAAGTGTTTCCATGAACGATTACACATCCCACTTGTTACCGGTGGTGCTCTGTTTATCTTGAGGCTATTCAACATCGTTGGTATTATTGGCATGCTCTCTGTCCCGTGATCCCTGCCAGACCAATATAGCAAATGTAAAAATAGATGCATGCACTAGTTTATGTCATTCCTTTTTTTATAAACATCAGGTAAGAAAGGTTTTTTAAAACTTTTTCATCAGAATATTTAAAAAAGGTTAAAGTTTTTATATGCATGCTTAAAAATGATATAATCTACCATATCACTTAAAAAAACTTACCGTACATCTGCTACTAAAACTTTGCAAGATTAATAACATGGACTCATTTACTTTGCCTAAAGCAGCCCTTTTAGTTTTGGATGCATTTCAGAAGGAAACGGTGCTAATACAAAATTCTGACTTTCAATTACTACTGTCCTGCACTTTTAAATTATTCAATAGCCTCTACACAGGGGCCATAAATCTGTATCCAAGGAAAAAAACTTGTGTGGGTGTAGTTTCCTGGAACAACAGGCATCTTTGTGGCATCATGATCTAAGCCACGGGACTAGCTGCCGAGTCAAATATAAACCAAACAAACCTGGATGGATAACAGCTGTTAAATGTGATCTCCCTGACATACATTTTGCCACAGTATTTTTATTGACGACTCTCAAAGAAAGGCATACATAAGAAACAATCAGCTGTTTTCTGTATTTTTTGCAATATTATAAATGCCACATAAACCTTTTGACATTTTTCCAACCTTACCCTCATAGATTTGATATGGTTGAGTGATACAATACAGTTGTGGAGTGAAAAGAAAAATAATATAATCCAAATTGTGTGGAGTACTGTATCTCAAGCTCAGATAAGTAAAATAAAGACCCTGTATTAACAGGAACTTTCAAGTATCGCTGGATATTATCTGGATTTAGTTAAATTGGAATCCCAGTCCAATTTTTAAACATTTAAAAACAATGTAACTTTCCTTTGGTTCTTTTTATCTATGCACTAGTTGCGTCTGTCATAATTTTGAATGTATTGGTTTTTTTACGAGACAAAATGAGAAAAAGTTCCTGAACAATGCATACTTTCACAAGTCACAGTGGCACCAGTTTAATAGACCACTGATGGACAAGAAATGGAAGGCTTCACTTACATTCCCTTTTGCTCTGTGGCCCTAAATATCAGTTATCTTGTCTAAAGACAGTAAAAAAAGACTCTAGTCACCTTAAGGGGGTAGACATTAAGGCTGAGATCCAGTCCAACTGTTTGTGTTGCATTTACATAAGTAGCTGTCATGCTATGTCAATGACTGAAATGTACTGGAACGGAATGATAACAGCTATTACCTAATATCAACATAATTTCATGGCCATAATTTCACTTTTGAAAAAGTTTGAGATAAAATTATAATAAATGTATTAAATATAAAAAGAGGGGAAGCAATAAACCAACAAAAATATTCTGCACATATGAATGAAAGCCATTCAAGGAAGTCTCGAAATACTTGCTTTTTTCCGACTTTTCCATGAACTCCCACCGTGTGAATATGTCTTTTTCTTCCACTCCAATAAAACCATTCCTCTGTCCTGCAACAATGTTGCACAGACATCTCTCATCAGATGGGAAACCTGTGATAACTGAGATAGTGTAAAACTGTCAAGGTAACCAGCAATACGCTGAAGGATCTCAAGGGGCAGACTACTTAAGTCATTGTAATCTTTAGTGACACTTCCATGAGGATTCCAGCTTTTCCCACCGTCACTTAGGCATGAAGGGATATGTGGCTGAAGTACCAAGGCGCTGACATCTTGGCTGTATTTGATCATTGCTTGTTGACCTGCAGGGTGAAACCTTATCTGGGAAAATGTACATCCAAGGTATGCCAATGGACAGCGCTGTTGAAACCAGCCACTCAGAGAAGCCTGTATATCACAGTGAGCATTCCTGAAATGAGAATGGAATTCATCACGGCGGAAGGAGTGGCCACACATGTAGTTGAAAGCTGAGCTTGTTTTGTTGTGTCTTCTTGTGACAGGCTCAGTTGCGACATCAACATAAAGACCACAAGTTCTTTTTGCAATTACATCTGCTAGGGATGCATCTTCTTTGAAGGGGGCAGAGAAAAAGTTGTACGTTTGTGTTCCTATATCTACATAAAGGCCATCAGTTGTAGTACTTTCTGAGATTAAATGCCCTCTCAGTTCCTTTTCCAGGCAACACAGAAGCGTTGCGCTAACCTCTTCAGACTTGGGTAGATCTTCAATGGACGAGCCCAAATCTGCAGTGTCGACACTCTGGTGTACAGTTTTGGCTTTGTGTGATGGGTTTTTCAGTTGACTGCGCTTTGCTCTGTAACTGGTAGGTACATTGAATGACCGGACAGTCTGAACCTCAACTGGCTCTAGATTACCATAAACAAAGTCCCTCTCTTTAGGAGTGCATGCACTAAGTTGACCAAAGTTGATCAACATTGCCCCATTGTGCACTAAGTACATGTTATATTCTGCAATATTGACTTCTTTGCCCAATCTTTCAAGGACACCATCTTGCCAAGGTGCAAGGCCAGTTGCACCATTCATATTTCTGGAATCATTTACCTCACCCTGATTAATGTTTCTATTTTCTACATCAAAGTTTAAATGTTTTTGCTCTTCTTTTCCTTCTCTCTTTCTGTCCTTATTTACATTTTTTGCAGCTTGATTACACCCTTCCTTCTCCTTGCTAAATATTTTCTCCCATGTATTGTAATTTTGGGCATTTGTCACATCTGAGATGTTAGCCAAGTCATCTTCATTTTCTTTATCCAATTCTTTTACCTCCACTTCTGCTGTTCCATTTTCTGTAGATTCACTAAAATCTAAGAGGCATGAAGCATCCTCAACATGACTTTTAACTCCATCAGACATATTTTCAGAGGCAGGATCTTCTTTCATCATCTCAGGGAAAATATTTTTCATTTTGATGGACTGAAACAGCAGGGCTTGATCCCTGAGAGCAAGAGCAACATCAAGGTTTTCATCAGTTTTCAATTTTAGATTCCCAGAAACATTTTTGTAAAATGTAATGTCAGTTTCGGGAACAGGCCAACGGTTCCACTCTTGAGAGCAACAGACAGTACTGGCTGGGCAGACCTCCAAGTGTTTGGCTAATTTCTGGCGTGGCATTGTAAGGGGACAGCCAAAGTCCATATTTAGGCAAGGGACAATCTCATAAGGACAAAGGATCTGGTGCTCTTCTTGCTTGCACATATGAAAGGTGGCTCCACAGTTTTTGCTACACTTAATGACCAAACATGATATTGAAAGGTTTACCGGAGCACGACAGTGAACACTGTAACACCCTTCACAATGCTTATGAATGACTTTCGCCATGTTGTTCCTTTTGTCTATGGAGAAAAATAAAAGGACAGCACAAAACACAATGTAAACAACAGTTTTCCACAGTTAAATACTCACAATAGATATTTTACATCTTGCAGCTGTTTAGATTTTTGTTGAAAAAAGAGCAAACCTGAAAAGTACATGGCAGCAGCTCTAGACGTGGAGATGACTTACTGAAGTTCTATCTGCGCATAAGAATAGTAAAGAAAGGGGACATAAGAGAACAAACATGGGATTGGTTTTGGTGTGACCCTGTCATTTTTCAAAATCTGCTTATATTTTCATGCACAATTATCTTTTTGAAAATGAGAAAATAAACAACTCCTCACAACCAGTAGATATGAAGTATCTGGAAGCACATACTTGATGCTGATTAGTTACACTTTTCACAATCTCTCAAAAACTGAAAATCAAGCTCAAAAGAATGCTCCTTTATCTAAACACAAGCAAGTCTTATTTTCAGTTATGATGTTTAGGCTTATGGCAGTAGAGTGATGTGAAGGGATTTATCTAAGTACATTTTGCATCCTCTGCTATTACCAGAGCATTATTTAAACACTGCCCTCTTCTTCAGCAGGGTAATGCCTTATGTTACAATTCACAAACATCTGCAAGTACATTTTTGAACATGACAATAAGTTGGTCTCCACTCTGATCGGATCTCAGTATATATCATATTGTAAGGTTGCATAGGGAGGTGTTAAATTTGCTTATTATCCTGCAACATAAATATCTTATTTGATTGGATAGAAAAATGCATTAGTAGCACACAAATATGGAAATATTAAAATGCATACATTCTTATTAGAGTTGCATATTCAAATTTATAAAACTTTGACTTAGAAGCTCCAATGATAGCAGTAAACATTCTTACCCTTTGTTCTTCTCTTGCCTTGTATTCACCGGCACCTGAATAACCTCTGCACTGTGTCTGGACATTATAAATAGACACAGCAAAGGGGCAGACAGGCCAGTGGGATGGGACACTGCTGTCACACAGCTATTAAGGACCAAGGTCAAGTTACAGCCTCCACCTCCACTTCACAGTGAGAGGGTGACAATTTTATCAGATAATCCAGTAATTAGCAGTTTAGTTTCTGCATGGACAAAGTAAACTGAACATGTATATCAAACTCCTCCCCTGGTAATTTACTTTTGTATTAGATAACAGCTAAATGGGAGTAATAACAAAATACTATGTTAGTCACAAGCAGTCCCTTTGTCTTTGTAATTGAAAATTATTTATAATGCACTTGAAATACCCATGTTATCCACTAGATGTCAGTCATGCACTTTAAGAAATTCAGGAACAAATTCCTTAGCATTTTTTATTAAAAAATAAAACATCTGATTTATAATGTATTGTTTTAAATTTGGTATTTCATTTTTTACAAGATGCTTTACAATTTAAACTCTTCAGAGCATTTGAAAAAATGAAATAACTAATTTTTTTTAGTTTCCTGACGACAGCATTTGTAACGAAACCAATTCATATTACGTCACTTTAACTCTCTAGTTACAACTGTTGTAGTAGAAATGTGCCCAAAGCTATTAGATTTCCTTGTAGAAAAAGATATGCACCTGCCACACTCAGACAGACTTTTCATTCATATATTAATTGATTAAAATTGAAATCTTATAAAGGCAGTGTTTTTCAACAGCGGAATGCTTTACTAGCCTAAATATCTTTAAGTAATTACATTTATTTACATAAATTGTGCTTGAACCATCCCCCCATTACTTTCTGGATATTAGACTGCAAACATCCCCAGCAGCTATTTTGTACTTTTGTAAAAATGCACTGAATGCATCTTTTTTTCCTTTAGTCCTTCTGCAGATTACAACCAACACTTTATCGGATACAGCTGATTTGTTCCTCATAGACTGCAATCAGCATACATTACAATAGGCATACAGAGATGAGAAGCATCACCACAGTGAAGAAAGGAGATTCAGTATTACCATGTCAAAGCTATATATATCGGGGGGGTTGATCTAGTGGTTAGAGTAGTGCACTTGTGTCGCAGTTAAAGCAGATATCCCCCTGCCCCTTCCGCAGACACTCTGATGCATATCTCTGAAATTGTAGGTGACCGCAGACAGTGCCGCAGACAGGATGTCTGTGATTGGTCAAATCTACATCCACTCAGCACAATCTGTATTTCCTGTTTGGTACCTTACCGGCTTGTTTTGTTTGTATGACCGCAATTGTGGAAAACTAATCCGGAGGATGCACCAGCTAGAAGAGCGTGGTGCAGGAGAACGCTGGGACCCCTTTTTCCACCTGGATCCCTGCTCTTTTTCCCCCCTCTGTTGGTCGCACAAACTTGTCCTTTTGAGTTTTTCCACTTGCTCACCACCTCGGCCGTATCTAGACCCACAGCTAGTTCGTGATTGTCCCTCTTGCGTTGTGGTGTGGAATAACATAGCGCAGGCCGCTTCTAAATTGGGAATAAATAAAAAATTTGTCGCAGTTAACGCAAATATGATCCTGCCCCTAGACTCTCTGACTCTTTGGTGCACCGCTCCGAAATTGTAGGTGACCGCGGATAGTGCCCCAGACAGGAGGCCCCTGATTGGTCAAATCTACATCCGCTCTACTCTACGTGTGTTTCCTGTTTGGTACCTTACTGGTTTGTTTTGTTTGTACGACCGCCATTTTGGAAAACGACTCGTGAAGATGGCCAAGCTAGAAGAGCGAGATGCGAGAGAACCCTGGGAACCATGATATGCCCCATTTATATAATCTTTTAGCAGGATTTATCATTAGTTGTGTTTCAGTTGACCACGAGCCAATTCATTTATTTTTATTTCTAAAGATTGTTTAGTTCAGAAGTTTGTTGACGGTCCCCAAGTCAACCACCGGTCATGAAAAGAGGGAGCAACAGAGAGCTACTGTCCGACATCTGAGCTCATGAATCGGATCGACTGTGAGACAGGTGACGGTAACCAAGTGGAGCATCAGTGATCCGGCTTCTATCTAACTTCCCCGCAGCAATTCACTGTATATTCTGAAGCAGCCTTTGAGTTCACAAAAGTTCTTGTTCGCTGCTCATCCCACACTGCTGAGTTCTTTCTATATTATGGCATTTTGATACAATATTTTTCAAGAACATCCAGTACCATTGCAGCCGCCCTGAATAATGTAGGAAGCTGTTACGATAGCTCAGGGACAGCACTAGGGGACTATTTGCTAATTCAGAAATCAAGATATATGTTTTTGGCTTGTCAAAATTATTTTTAAGATATCTTGATTATAGTTATGGACGTGTAAAACTTTAAATGATGAATCAGGCGATGTAATTTGAGATATCTCAAAAGGCATTTTGACTCTCCAAAATGTGATTGGTTGATATCTTGAATTGTTATTTTCACTAGTCATAATATAATTTCAGATATCTTAAAGTATGATTCAAGATAGTCAAAATTTTGTTTTTCCAAGTCAAAACTTTTTCTTTGATATTTTAAAAGTAATTACGGAGGTCAGAAAAGCTGATTTCATGATAAACTGCTGCCCTTAGCCTGCGCGCAGGGCAGCGAATCAACATATTGCACATACAAATCCTCTCTACGCATCTTCAGATCTCACATGGCAGAAGTGTAGAAAAAAATCACCTGTGTAAAGAGAGCCAACCGCGAAACTGCTTGACTTTTAACCAATGATTTGTCTGTATTTCTGGGTGTTGAAGCAAAAATATACATCAGACTTAATTGACTCTGTGTGTTTACAGACAGATCTACACGTTTGTATATCTTATTGCACATTTGCAAATCTAAACACACATTTGTAGGTCTGAATACAGATTTGTGGACTTTTTATACATTTGCAAATCAATTACACACAAGTTATTTTACACTTTTGCAGATACTCATACAGACAGAAAAATATCCTCACAAATTTTCAACTCCCACTGGACACACATCAATCTAGATACAGACACACAACTCTCCACACACATATTTAAATAATTTTGCAACGATATTGCTCCAATAATTTTGTTTTCCCAGTGTCTTATTGTGTAACCTTCTTATTGTTTAGGTGTAGCAAACTGGTGGTTATTTTGCATAAAGTTTAAAAATAGATTGTCTTACACCAGGGAACATGAGATGTACTTACTAGAACAACTGGCACAAACCAAAATGTGCTAAAATTGATTCAGAAATACAAATAAACCACATACTACAGAAATAACAAATTAAGGAAGAACACAAACTTTCCCAAAGGATTTTTTTTAGGTATTGTAAACTTATTAGAACAGAGTAAAGTACTTCCAGTGACAATTAACTCTTTAATGTGAATTCCTTTGATCTTTGAATGGCACATCATCGTCCCACTGGGAGAAGGCTGAGGGGGGAGACCCAGGACATGCTGGAGGGACTATGTTTCTTGGGTGGCCTGGGAGCACCTTGGGATTCCCCTGGAGGAACTGGAACAAGTGGCTGGGGAGAGGGACATCTGGGCCTCCCTACTGAAGCTGCTACCACCGCGACCCGACCCCATATAAGCGGAAGATGGATGGATGGATGGATGGATGGATGGATGGATGGATGGATGGATGGATGGATGGATGGATGGATGGATGGATGGATGGATGGATGNGATGGATGGATGGATGGATGGATGGATGGATGGATGGATGGATGGATGGATGGATGGATGGATGGATGGATGGATGGATGGATGGATGGCACATCATACCCATAATAACATCAGAACAACAAAGCTTGAATAAATAAGAATTCTAACTTGAGCAAAGTGTGTTTGTCTTAGTCTGCTGCATTTCTGGATAAAACATTGGCAGATATTTTATTCAAGTTGTGATCCTTTATGCCAATACTACTAAAAATATAGTGTAGTATAACTATTAGTAGAAGTGCTTATTTTTTAAACATAGACTCGGTTAAATGCAACTTTGTAAAAGTTTATTCTATATATGGCTTATATGGACTGTAATTTGGAATCAAAACCCATCTGTCCCTGTATATGAAATTGAATATATTATTCTAAAACATATTTAATATATATTTAATTTGAATATACTATTTTTACATGTAGAAATTACATTTGCTAATACAATTTATTTAATTTCCTCATGGAAGTATACAAATAAACTTCCCTATGTATCAACAAAATGAAAATTAAAGGCAATTATGGAAATACAATAAGACAGTTGACTTTGCCCCTTTCTGATAGGATTTTCTTTGGAACTTTCATTGGGAAAAAAATGTATTTGTAAAGCAGCAAATAAGGGTCCAAAATTACATTAGGTGAATATATTTCTCTTACTTGTTCATCAGTGTTTTAGTCATGGGTTTGATTTATTGAAAACACTAATTTAGATATCTTCTCAGAGACCTTTACAATAAATTTCAAAATCAGGTTTGATAAGAAGACAGAGAAGAAAAGAAGGTGTTTACCAAATAAGGTTAGGCTAAAAGAAAAAACACAGAAATATATTTTCAGTTCTGAGATTTTATGCAACTTAAAGGGCCTCAAAATAGGAGAGAATTGTAGGGTGTTCATTTTTTCTAACATGGATTTTAACAATGCTGGGCAGTGAGGTTAATGATTCCTACAAGTTCCATGCCATTTAACTTAAATGTAATGCTCTGAAAAATAATTGGACATTTTGAGAGGTCAGGGAGAAATTTTTATTAATATTTAAGACTTTTGAAAGCTGTGAGAACACAGCAGGACATTTCAGCATCACTGCATTAAAGTTGAATGTTTGCTTGTTTTTGCTTAAACATGAGATTCCTAACTGTACAAAAACATCCTCTGAGGTTTCCATGTATCTCACTATATATTTTTTTTCTTTTTGTATCCTATTTTCTCATCTATTTCCATTCTCTTAAAAGGCTTCCCCTGTTTTGTAGCGTATACCCAGTTTATTATATATGACAAAACGTTTTAATAAG